TATTGTACGATTTCAATTACTATTCTATGTTTTTTATGTTTTTGAAATGACTACTAATAATAGTACTGTATAACGTTTCTGTTGTCATAATGAAAATGCTCCCGTCCATTAAGGGAAAACTATGAGCAATGTAATTAAATATTTTCTTTTTTTTTTCATATTTTGGCATAATAAATGATAATGAAACACAATATAGTCAGTTTCAATTCTTGGGAATGATAACCATTCAGCAATAATATATAAACATCAGTTTTTTTACAGCCTGGATAGTTAGGACATATTATAAAATAGCCAATACTATTAACAGTAAAGTAATATTGCCATCAGTTTTACATCTTTTTATCATATTAATACGATTTACAGTTAGGTTTTGCCACATCAAAAGATTCCATAATATTTAACCGGTTTCAGGTCTGCTCTGAAACGATAACAGTTTCAAGAGGAGGTGTGGTTTGTGATTTGCTTTTATATAGCACACTAACGTTATCCTATATTTATGTACTGAAGCTTGCTACTGTAACGCAGAGCACCTTCCCCCACCACCACCACACCCCACCTCCTACAACAACGTCAAGATGGCCAACGCTACCACCGTACCTCTTCCCCTACCACCATAACCCCATCTCCGCCGGTCACATCCAACATCGCGATCCCCAACAACGACGCCGAAGACAGCCCCTGCTACCACCATGACCTGCTACCACCATGACCTCGACTCCAACTGTCACATCCAAGACCACACTATGACCGTATCCCATCGCCAACAAAGACATCGAAGACAGCCCCACTACCACCGCGACCCAAGACTGTGACCGCGCCGCCCCTTCCCCAGCAACAACGTCGAAGTCAGCCCCTTCTACCACCATGACCCCGCCTTCGCCTGTCACATCGAACAATTCAACATGCTATCTCTAGTCAAGCTGTCACAGCCACCTCCGCTCAGCAACATCTCATGATGAAAGCAAGAGAGCCGTCACTATACCCGTGTCACCAAGACCCTGCCTTCACATTCACATCCACATAACTTCGCAACCTTAACATCGACATCGGTGATGACGGCCACTGCTACCGCCATAACCGTGCTACCACCTGTCTTCCGACC